AGTACCCTCCCTGGGGCACAAATCCTTCCTGCTCAGGACAGAGGATCTGACCAGGCTGTTGGTCCCCATCTTGTCATAAAGAGCCCTAGTGGGCAGCACTTCACACCATAAGTGGACTGGCTTTCTCCATGTCCAATGTTGGTCCAGTATGTCCAAAGGGGGTCTATCCAATCTCTGCATGGTTACTCTGAAATTCAGGTCAAAAGTCTGTATTTCTGGAGGGCCGGTGAGGCATGAGCCAATGCCAGTGAGGCATGTGTTGAATGAATGTGTGAAAGACTTACAAAAACCCATTTCAATTTGCGTCTTGCATTTACATTAGAACAGAAAAGGAACGCCAACTCTTATAAATCTATTAATAGTTCACATACCAGGGAAAGGCAGCAGTGAAGCTTGGCTTCAGAGGCAACAGGAGCCAGACTTGACCACCTCCACCATTCCAGCTCTTACGCCTGTCCCTGCGGTCCAGCTTGTCCTCAGACTGGTCCAACCTCGTGCTCGCTGCAGCAGTCATTGCCCACAGGACGTTCCTCAGGTCACACACACACACCCGCCCCAGGGCCAATGAACCATGTCTACCTCTCAAACAAGGAAAGTGGCAGACAATGGTGGCTTACCACACTGCTTTTCAAAATTTGTTTCTGTTGCACATAACTCATTAAAATTTCAATCCAGGCTAGAACATAAATATTTAGAAACTGAGCTGATGACAGAGTTCTGAAGGTCTTCATGAAGTGTTGTTACTTCTACTCTTCGCTTGTAGAAAATTCAGAAAACAAGTTTCATAACAGCAGCCATAGTTCTCAGTGATGAAGATACTTCCTACCACAAAGATGGCTCATAATGTCACCATTTCCCATCTACACTGATTCCAGTAAGATTCACCCTTAGTTTAGCTGACTCTTGGCAGGTAGCTGACTTTTCTCGTCTTGGAAACACATCTTGAAATTCAGTGGTAATAAAATATTTAGAGTCATTATTATTACATGAGAATTTTTTCTTAAAAGAAATGGCCTTAAAAATCAGAGAATAGTTATATTCACCCAACTGTGCTAACAGAGGCCTTAGAAAAAATAACAATACAGCCTCAGAAAGAGAAATGTCTTGGGCGCTTGGAATGTTTTACAAGGTTTTCTACCTAACCCCACCTCATATGTGAAGGTCAGAACTAGAGAAAAAGAAACGAAAATTGAGATCATTCAATAGACAACATTGCAGTTGACTTTAAAATCAGGCTAACCATACAGATTATCAAATTGACAAATACTTATTGTTTATTTGTATGTATCTGTTGAGTATCAATCTGCTCTGGTCAATTAAAAAATCTGAGAAACATATAGGTGAAAAACAAATCCCCATCACCACCCTGACCCTTTCTCTCGGCGGTTATGCCAACCCCAGACTGGTGGGGCAGCAGTGGCAGGACGCAGCACACCTCCATGCTTGCGAGGACTGTGCCTACATCATGGCAAGCTCTGTGTTGCCCACTCCAAGAAAATAATGCCTCATCCTGTAAGCTTTCCAAGTACAGTTTCGGGGAGGAAGAAAGTAGTGTGAGATGAAATTTTTAATGGAGTAAGATTTCAACTTGGCCTTAACAAATGGAGGACAATTTCTAGGTATAAAACCTACTGGAAGGAAACCTCATCTGTTTTGCAGAAGTAAATGGCCATGTGCCTGGAAAGGGGTGAGAAGTTGTTCCCAGAGTCGGAAAAGAACAAGTATGAACAGAAGAACATCTGAAATCCCAGGGGCAGTGTCCAGAAATGCCCATCCAAGCAGGGGCAGGGGATGCAGTGGGGCTCTGCAGATAAATCCAAGATAAGAGCAATATAGGTATGCACCCACAGTGGGTCCCAGAGAGCTGGGGTGAAGCAAGGGGACGGAGTCTAGAGGCACAGGAAACATCACTGTCTGCACAGGACAATGCCAAGGGCAGCCACCACAGTAAACATATATTTTATATAGCCCAGAAGAAAACCTTCATGATGTGGCAACGTTAAATGTAGGTATTTGGGGTGGAATCACAAAAACACATGTGTTTTGACAGTCAGCAAATCTCAAGAGGACTGGCAGAGCACATCAGAGGAATGATAATTGCAGAGGGCCAGGAAAAGTGAGCAGAAAGAGAGTTGGCAAGACAGACTCAATGCACACCAGGGCTCCTCAGCGAGACTGCCCTTTCTCCTGTATAGGGCAATAGAGTAAGTTTATGCATCCAAAACAGTCTATCCACTTCCTACTCAAGTGTCTCCTATACGTGGGCTGTCCAAACTCTAATAGCTTTTTTTAAATGACTTTACAACTCTTTAATAATTACATGTTACCAAGAACCAGGATGAAGAACAACTGATTATTTAGGTATGGTTTGTATTCTCTTTAAAAGACATGCCATCAACTGTAACACTTGTAGCTGTTCAAGAACCTTAAAGATCTAGTCGCAAGATTGTAGGTGCTCCTTCTGAAAGCTCCACAAACACCAGTACTTCACTGCTCCTGGAATTTGTCACTAAATTGAATATTTGCCTATCCTTAAGCCCCACCAGATTATAACCATTAAGAGGCTGTGTGACACACCACTGAATATATTCCTGGTGGACTGTAGGAGCCTAATACATTTTTGTTGAATCAATGAATTTATACAACTAACCAAAGGAAATCAACTGCGTTAACTGTGATGAGTGAAGCCAGTATTGAAAGCCAGCCTTTCAACACCTCGCAGGGGAATTATTAGTAAATATTAATTTAATCCATGTTTTAGAACAGATTAAGACCAACTGAATAAACACTTATTGAGGTCCTAACCTATCCAGGAATTCGGTTATATACAACACCTGGAAGACAATGATAAGACAAAAGCCCTATTCTCTTAAGATTTGCCTAGAAGCACCAATCATTGACATTTACTAAAAACACTCTATATGTATTATAAATTTGGGGCAGTCCACAACTCAGGTGACTTCACTGTGATTACATTCAAGAGGAGATTAGTGGAAAAGGCAAGCTTAAAATGTAACCATCCTTTCCTAATTGAACATGTTTCTTAGAATATACATTTACTTTATGTAGGCAGCTTATATGAAGTCTTCTAATGCAAAGTGGCTGAAATAGTGTGGGCTTGTGAGCTTTCTTTAGCATTACAAGTTACCTCTTTCCAACGGACTTCCTCCTAAAGACCTGCTGCTGGTGCCAAAGCGAGTGTGCCCATCCAGAGGTGGGCCTATCCGGCCACTGCACCCAGGTGTGGCCGGAGGGAGGAATCCTCTGGGCAGTGTCAGAGGTACCCACAGTAAGCCAGGACCAACATCCAGAAGCCCATCTCCCATTCACCTTCAACTGTGAGCAGAAATCAACTTCATTCAGAATGCGAACTAGTGGTTTAATGAAGCCCATATAAAATCATATAACCTCTTTAAAAAATCAGTCCACACTTCACACAGGAGTACAGACTTAAGGAAAATATGCATTTTAACATAGCGCAAGATTGAATGATCTTAAATGCTACCATTTATTGATCAATTACTCTGCATCAGATTGATTAAAACCATTCATATTACTTCTGGGGTAAACATGGCCTTTACAGAAGAAACTGAAGGCTACAGGGCTAACTGGCCCAAAATCACAGGTATATTCACCTTGGCTTCCTCTCTACTGCTCTTCATTGATCAGTATTTTCAATTCAGAATAGAACCTTATTGCTAATGGGCATGTAGGCTCTATCAGAATGAAGGAGTTATCAGCTGAGGCACTCAAAAATTTGATCATCTCAATAACCAAGTCAATAACCAAGTCTGGACCATAATTTATACTTACCTTTATAACTTATCTCATTCATATATTAAATAAGCAGCATTTCACAAGGACTTAACAATGGGGAGCAGCTTGAAAAGAAGCATCCCAGCAGGTTTAGTAATAACTCAGTAGTTTCCATCATATAAAAAGTTACCTAGTTTCTGGCTGTCATGATTTTAACAATTCTTAATCCAAATAAATAATCCTAACATTTCTTTGCAGCCAAATTTTATTTTCAGAAAGTGGTATTTTTAATAATCTTAAATTTATCTCAAATAAGAAAACACCCAATGTTTTCATATTTAGTCCCAAAAAATATTCTCTGGAGAAATGTCTTTTAAAATTCAAAGAATGTAATTATTAAAACACATTTATGAATAATTTTACTTCATTCCTAGGATGGTCACTACCACCAGAGTTGGCTGCTTGTACATCAGCTCTCAAAAACAAGCCAAATATCACCACAGGAAACTGTTATTAAGGAGGACAAGAGTGAGAGGCTGAGAAAAAGCTCTGCAAATCAGAGTGCTAAAGAAGTTAGGATAGCACCTAGGTTAATGAAGGGAACAGGAATAAGCATTTACGGAGGTGGGAAAACAGGAACCCAGGGCAGAAAGGAGTCAGAGCAAAGCAAACAGATGAAGCAGGTGAAAGCAACCTGAGAGTATTCTTCAAATTTACAGGTAGTGGTGGTGTAAAATGAAGCAGACAAAGATCACATCCATGATGATGGATATTGGAAAGCGGAAAGAGCTTAAAAGAGTTCAAAGGAAGGATACACTCAAGAAGCGCAGGACAGAATTGGGGGTAAGAACTGATACCACAAGCTGATGCACTAGAGAATGAGGGCACACTCATCACAGAGCGAGAGGCCACTTCTTTTACTTTCTAAACCAATACAATACATGTACTCAGCACAGTCTACCACTGAGCTTGGGGAATCACACTATTTAGTTTTAAGTTATCATTGATTAAAATGTGTTACCCTAATTTTTAAAAATGCTATTGATATATCAAATTATCTACCGTAACCAATTATAATTTCCATTCCTATACAGGACCACAACCACAGAAAAGTGAACACCACTGTAGTTCTCCATAATAAAAAGCTTAAGACAATTGTGGTCTCAAAGGGGAATCAAAAGACTCAGGAGTTTAGTTCTCTGCAAGAACTGTCTCTGGCTTGTAAGAAAAGTACAGAGGTGGAGTTAAAGTACAATTGTATTTATACCAAATGGTGGTCAGGTAACACAACAAAGATGTTTTTGTGGCAGTCTGGCAAGAGAAAAAAGGTAAGAAAATTTGGAGTCCAGCAGTACACCACAATACAGACATGGGGCAAAAAAAGCCAGGAGACAACATCAATATTTACATTTCAAATAGATTAATTCAATAAAACACCCTCGACATTGAATTATTTTATACTTTTAATTACTCTGTAGTTATGAAATTTACTTTATGATTTCCTAAGGCCTAAGGGCATAAGTTTATACATTTGCATTAACAGTTTTATGCATTAAACAATGTCTTAACAAAAATATTTCAATACTGAGTCCACAAGAATTTTCTCCTTAAAGTCCATACATTATCCAAAATTAAGAAACCCAGGCAATTAGATACTTTTCTTGTAAACTCAATTACTTTCACTTGAGTATTAACATTGAAGAAAAGTCTATCACCCACTTTAAATTTGTCTCTACAGCCACTACTACATTTACCCAAATTTTTGCCACAGAAAGATAATTTATGATAATAAATACCATCTGGACATCTGACCATCACTACTTATTTGGCCAATGTAGCTTGAGAAGGAGTAAAACATTTCTCTTTGTCAGTTATCAGCTGTGAAGAAATTATTTTTTCCCCTCAAATTAAGGGCTGATAAAGTACAAAGGCTAGAAAATCCCACCTTTGAGCCATAAAGCATTTATTATAATGCTTATTGATTGTAAAAGGATGAGTCTTTGGATCCCCACCAAAAAATGACACTAAGTATTATGACTAGTTTTACCATATTTTAATATGAATATTTAAAGTCTCACTTCATGTTATATTGTAAATTTTCTAGATTACTTTGTCAAGTTCTCTATTGTTAAAAGCCTGTTTTTTTTAAAAAGCTATTACATTAGATGAAGAATATACACTCAATTGCTAACAGTGCTTCCTTACAACTTTGAACAATATATTTTAAAATTACTCAGGTACTGCACTGACAGACAACTACAAGTTTTCACTACCCAAAATTAGTTAAATGATTTTACTTCTCTACCAACCACAGGTTTCTCATTATTATTGGTTTCTCAGTGCCAACTCTTATTCCCCCCATGGAGGCAGAATATTAACCTCACTTTGTATAATCTTTTGGTTGCCAAATTTAAATTTCTAAGCAAAACTTAAAGTAGCTAGCTGCTCACTAATGAACAAGGACAAGATAAAAGAATTCACTTAAGTCTACATTTGGCAAAAAATGGATCACTGCATATTCCTCACGTGGTATTTGGTAATTATTCACTTGAGAAAGGATGATTTCTGGGATATTTTTAAGTTAAGAAGGTAAAATCTATCTGGCTTTTATCACATTTCATAAATGAACTTGCCAAAAAAAATCTAGTGTTCCTCTTTCAGGCTACATATAAAAATGAGATGGAAAAGACCCTTAGGAGTATTTTTAGGTATAAATGTTCTAATAAGGATGTCAACACCATGGCAACCTCTTCATAGCCAATGATTTTTTTTTTATCATGTACTGACTCCAGGAGTTCCCCAAACTCCCTTACTTCATAAAATGATGGTTTTGACTTGTCACTTACTTTCTGTACCATCAAACACCTTAATAATTTTCTCTTCAGAAAATGCTTATTCTCTTATTTTCAACATTACATTTCTTAAATAACCAACATTTTCAGTATGAACTATAGTAAGATTTCTATTTACTCTTAGTAACTTCCATAAGGCATATTAATTTTAGCATAAAAGATATTCTATTTCCTGCTATTTAGTAAACATTACTGGATGGAAATTAACTGCAACTGCTCCTATTAAATATGTAATACATTATCCATTCCCTTTCATGTTTCTGTTTTACATACAAATTACCTACACTCTCCCAAATCTTCAGACTTGGAATATTTTTGTGAAAATTACCAAAAGTCAATCAAGTTGGTACTGGAAAATTATATTAATACTTATCAGAAAAGTAAAATCAGTGCCTTTTATACCCTTTCCAGCAGTAAATGGTACTATGATTCTACACATGTATGTCTTAAACATATATATATATATAAAATCAGGAAAAAACAATCTTTAATGATACCAGACTCCATCATCAGCACTTACATTCTTTAAAATCTATGTGAGAACACAGTGCATTAAAAGTCAATACAGTTTTGGCCAAAAATCTGTAATTTCATGATGCACCTACCAGAACCACCCAAGTGCATACATAGCAAATCAAGGAAAATGCATTAGTGAAATTTCCCAGCTGTGTCCTGTAAGTTTTCAAAATAAGAGCTTCACATGTATTTATCAATAACAGTATGTATTAACTGGGAAGTAATTAAATCAATGAATTGGTATTAAGCAACCCACACTAATAAACCATATGCAAGAAAGTAATTCACTCTCCAAGCACTTATTCCAATTTGAAATGTGCCAAATTCTTTTAAAAAGGTAATTTTATATTGTAATTTTTTCTATATTACACCCAAAAGATTCAAATACCACTGACTATCCTTACAAATGTTTGTCCCAGTCCTGAAAAGTCACACAAAAAACCCGTTACAAATGCCATTACTTTAAAATACCAGGGAAAAAAAGAATCTAACTAAGCAATATTGAAAATTATAAAGTAATTAAAGCCATTAAAGCATAACACTGACCTAATAGGGTGAGAATTTTATTTTTGTTATCTTATACTACTATATGATCATTCCCTAGGGTCTCACTTGATGGCCTTTTAAACAAATTCCGAAGGCAACTTTACAGTTCATTTTATACACATGCTCCTACAACCTTAGCCACTTCACAAAACAAAGGGAAGAACAGCTTCAAAACTGCTCTTAGAAATGTTACTGTAAGAGCAACTCTGCATTAATTCTTCCTATAAACAACCAGTGTGTCTTAGATTGTTGTGTTCATCTTGATTGTGACATGCATAATGGATTCTGCTTTGGAAATGGGCTAACTGGCATGCAGACTTCTGCAGAGATCCATAGTCCCCAAAACAAGAGGGGAAATGAACATTATAGAGCCAACTCAAACTATATATACTTGGGGGAATAAACCGTCCTCAACAGTGGGCATGGGGAAAGGAAAGAGGAAAAGAGATTATGGTACCCACTCTCAGCCCACAGATATAAATAATTTAACAGCATTCAAATGGTTATCAGTGCCCATATATGACAAGACACATTTTCAAAGTGGAAAAGAAATTAGAGAGGCTGATTAAGACCATAAGTAAACATCAGACTCATATATATAACATCAATATAATTCAACTTAATCTTCAACCATTTAAAGTTTTAAGAATATATTCCAAGGTAATAGTTCATTTCAAACTTATTTTAATAAATTACACATGCACTAATTTGTATGTATATATTCTCTATGTGTCACTTTTAAGCATTTTAAATATTCTTGATAATTAGCCATGTTGAAATCAGTTTTAGATGAACTGTCACTGAATCTAATGTATTACTGAGCAAGAAAAGGTAGCTCAGAGCTTTAACTTTGAATGAACTTTATAAAAACATGTCAGGGCATGTTTGAGAAATTTGTCCTTGTTACCTGACCACCTATTTTCTTAAGTGAATTCATAAGAGTTATTTTTAAAAAGTATTATACCCAGTGCTTTGAAATGGAAAACAGTGAACTAAACCCTAAAGTCCCTTTGGTAAAAGCATAACATAAATGAACTTTCAATTCATAATTACGTATTTGCCAAAGTGGAAGATAAGTGGAACTGGATAAAACTAATCCCAGTTAGTGTTAAAAACATTAGGGGAGAAAATGTCATAGAAAAATAAAAAGATATTACTAAGAAAAAAATGGAATGTATACCTGGATAATCTGCGGTCTATTTTTCTGTATAAACTGCTATAATCTAAACATCTTTTTAGTAATATTTCTAGTGAAATCAAATTCAAAATATAAGACACCTGGGATTATTCCTTCTCCAAAGAAATTAATTTGTTCTATGCAATACTCTGTAAATTCCAATTCACAAGAGGTATACAAAATAGGATAAATAATAAAAGGTGTGTATACATGAAAAGCTACAATAATTCTAATTTTTGCTACCTCAGTAAGGTACTATACATATACCACATCAATATAATAGAAATGGCACAGTTTCTGAGGACACATTCCACATTTTATTTACATTTTAAGACTAACTTTAATCTCAAACTCACATAGCCATACACCTATTTTCTTTTTGTTGATTTCATTTAAATGCATGGTTTGTCAAACAAGACTGTAAACAAATATTTACCATGTCTGTTACATGTAACATAGGAACGGCTTTTAACAATTTCACCGGCCTCCCCCACATTTTTTTATTATAAATACAGATATCAAAACAATCTTGAACATATTTTTGATACTACTAGTAGTCAGCACCCACACCGCCTCAAAAGTTAACACAATTTGTGACAATATTCATTGTACCTGCTAGTTTAGACAATTTAAACTGAAGCTCTTTCACTAAGATGGATAAAGCATGCCACTTGTTTTCCTTCTTCAGATTTGTACTTTTTAGAAACACACATGCTTCCACAGCCATCTGACACTTCTTGCCATGCTTTCACCTGGTAAACCTGAATCCTATTTTGAGTACTCCAGGTTTATACTTAAATGACAGTGCCTTAACAAGAGAAAAAAAATTGTGCTGCATTTTTCCTCCTGTAACCTGAAAACATAATGGGTGTACATATATTAAATATATTCTTATAAATGTCCAGGTCATGTTTACCAGCTGGAATTCTTTTACTTAATGTGTGGGTATTTTGCATTGTGATATTTAACCAAGACATTAACATGAGTAGAAGGTTGTTGATTTAAGACAAGTTTGAGATCCACTAAAATTAATTGTTGTATGTTTGTCCTTCTGGTGGCTGTGGAAGCTTCATATTTTCTTTGGACATCATTAGACGTCTTAGCTCTTGAAGTACAACTTTAATGCTATATGAATTTTGCCATTTTGCTAACACTGGTATGCTTCGTGCATCCACCTGAAAGGGGAGGAAAAGACAGTAAAATTAACTACCTGCATTTAAAGTACCAATTTATTAAATGTACTTCAATTAAGATATGCTTTTAAAAATTAATAGTATTTCTACAAAAGTGAACATTACGAAACTACAGATTCATGTAACACTTAAGGAAAATATTCCTTCTTTAACAGCTATTCCCTAAAAACTTGTATCTTTCTTTGTGTTTTTCTATATTTTACAAAAAACATGCAGTGAACTCTGGTCATCAGGAATAAACATTATATTAAATAACTACATTGTAAGCATATTTACCAACTCCTTCTTATGGAGTTAAACTCACAAGGTTCCTTTTCATTTCCAATGCCACTACCCAAAGTCTGGGCAATTATTATCTCCACTGAAATTTAGGAAAGAGCTATAAACCTGATCTCTCCTTTCAGATTTTTCTTTCCAGAGTATTCTCTGAACTATACTAAATTAAGCAACTGTAAAGACTGGCAGATGGGGTTGGAGATCCTTTAAAGCCCCTTTCCTATGTAACTCCCATCACTTGACCCATCTGGCAGCTCTCTGGAAAACCACACTCACAGAGTTTTCTCTATCTGATCTCAGAACTCACCCACTGAGTACTAACTAATCCCTGACCCACTCACCTCTAACCCCACATTTGTCAAATTCCATCAGTGCCAATCATTTAACATCTCCACTGTCTGGGGAGGCAATAACAAATCAAACAGAAGGCGATAAAAATACTTCAAAGGAAAACTAAGAAATGAGATGTCCACAGGGGCTTTGAAAAGTTCCAACATATGACTGCGAATTCAGAAGGCCATGCAGTACATGGCTGTGCACAGGCTCATGGAGACCCTGAGGTCATAGACTCTCACCCGGGCTGACCCTGAGCAACAGTAAAAAAGATTATACAATATAACCAAGTGGGGTTTATTCCAGAAATGCAAGGTTGGTTCAATATTTAAGAAGGCATTTAAATGCAATATACTATATAATAGGACAGAGAAAACCACAATTATCTAAAAAGTCACAAAAAGCACTTGATGAAATCCAAAGACCTTTCATGATAAAAACACTCAACAAACTAGTAATAAAAGGCAACTACCTCAACCTAATAAAGGGCAACTACAAAAAATAACAGCTAACATTGTACTCAATGGTGAAGGAATGAATGCTTTCCTCCGCAGATCAGGAACAAGGCAAAGATGTCTGCTCTCATCACTGCTATATTCAACATTGTACTAGAGATTCTAGCAAGGGAATCAGGCAAAAAATGAAATAAAAAGCAACCAGATTGAAAAGAAAGACAAAACTATCTTTATTTGCAGATAACATGATCTTGTACAAAGAAAATCCTAAAGTATCCATTATAGAAACTACTAGAGCTAATAAACAAGTACAGCAAGGATACAGAAACAATACACAAAAACCATGTCTGTATATCTGTAATGGTCAATCTGAAAATAAAATTAAGAAAACCACTCTATCTATAAGAGGATAAGAAAAATTAAAACACACAGGTATAAATTTAATAAGTGATTTTATATACTAAAAACTATAAAATAAGATTGCCAAATTAAAGATCTTGAATAAATGGAAAGACATCCCACCTACCTAGATCAGAAGACTTAATAGTGTAAGATGACAATACTATTCAAATTGCTGTACAGATTTATACAATCCCTATCAAAATTTAAAATGCCCCTTTTTTTTTGGCAGAAATGGACAAGCTAATCCTAAAATGCATATGGAAATGCAAGGAACCCAGACAGCCAAAATAATATGAAAAAGAAGAAAAAAGTTCTTCCAATTTCAAGGCTTGTTATAAAACTATATAGTAATTAAAAGAATGGTGGTGCTTACATAAGGACATGCATACAGATCAATGAAATATAACTGAGAGCCCAAAAATAAACCCATGAACATACAGTCAACTGATATTTTGACAAGGCTGCCAAGAATACAATAGGGAAAGGACAGTCTCTTCAATAAATGGTGTTCAGACAACTGGACAGCGATATGCAAAGGAATGAAGTTGGACCCTCAACTCAATATACTCAAAAATCAAGTCAAAATGGATTATAGACTTAAATTAAGAGCTAAAGCTATGAAACTCTTTGAAGAAAACAGGAGTAAATCTTCATGACATTGGATTTGGCATTGGTTTCTATAGTTGTAACACCTAAAGTATATTCAACAAAAGAAAAAGTAGATAAAATGGCTATATTAAAATTAAAAATTTTTGCATTGTAAACCATACTATTAAGAAAGCAGAGACAACCCAGAGAATGACAGAAAATACTTGCAAATAATATATTGGATAAGGGGCTCTTGTTCAGTATATAAAGAACTCTTACAACTCAATAATAAGAGGCCAAATATTTCAATTAAAATGTGAACAAAGGCAAATTATGGCAGACAGCTGTTATGGACTGCATGTTTGTGTTCACCTCCAAGGTCGTTATGTTGAAACCCTAACCAACACAGGGATGGTATTAGGGGCTGTGAGGTCCTTGGAAAGTAATTAGGTTTAGATGAGGTCATAAGGGTGGAGTTTCTGATGGAATTAGTGACCTTTTATAAAAAGAAAGAGATTAGAGCTTGCTCTCTCCATGTGAGGACACAGCAAATCAGTCATCCTCAATCCAGAATGAGGCCACCAGCTCCCAGCCATGCTGGCACCCTTATCTCAGACTTCCCAGCTTCCCAAACTGCACAAAATAAATTTCTCGTTTAAACCACAGTCTATGGTATTTTTGTTATAGCAGGCCAAACTAAGACAGAGCTTTTAAGATAGCTCCCAAAGATCTTCAGCTCCTCATGTCCTATGTAAGCCCCCCCTTTGAGTATGCTTCTAATCAACAGAATATTAAGAAGTCATTTCCAATATTAAGTTACAAAAGTACTCTAGGTTCCATCTTGCTCTCTCTTGCCTTCACTAGCTTGCTTTGCAGACGTCAGCTCCAACTTGGTAACTGCCCTGTAGAGGGGCCTATGTGGCAAGGTACTAAGAATGGCCTCTGGAGGATGACTGAGGATGGGGATGGAACCCTCCTTACTTCAGCATTCAGATGAGACCACAGTGCAGGCAGACATCTTGACTGCAACCTTGTGAGGAGACCTGAGCCAGAGGGCCCAGCAAAGCTGTTCCTACATTCCTGGCCCACAGAAACTATGACAATAAATCCGTGCTGTTCTAAACAGCTTTTAAAAAATAGACAAAGGATATGAATAGATATTTCTCCAAAGATATACAAACGGCCAATAAGAACATGTGAAAAGCTACTCAACATCATTAGCCTAATCAAGGAACTGCAAATCAAAACCAAAATGAAACTCTACTTCATACCCACTTGGATGGCTATAATAAAAAATACATTAACAAGTGTTGGCAAGGATGTGGAAAAGTTGGAACCCTTATCCACTGCTGGTAGAAAAGTAAAATAGTATGTTCACTCTGGAAAACAGTCCGGCAGTTCCTCAGAAAGTTAAACGTAGAGTTACCATGCTTAGCAATTTTATTCCTAAGTATTTGACTACATAAAACCTGTTCGCAAATGTTCACAGCAGTATTACTCATGATAGCCAAAAGCGGAAAAGCCCAAAAGTCCATTAAGTGATGAAGAGATAAACAAAATGATAAAGAAGTATTACCCAGTAATAAAAAAGGAAAAATACTGATATATAAACTACAACATGAATGAACCTTGAAAATATTGTTAAGTGAAAGAAGCTAGTCAGAAAAGAACACATATTATATGATTCCATTTATATGTAAAGTCCAGAACAGACAAATCTATAAAGACAGAAAGTAGATGAGTGGATGTTTAGGGTGGAGGAGGTGGGATGGTAAGTGACAACTATGGGTACAGGGTTTCCTTTGAGAGGAAAAGTGCTCCAAAACTGGATTGTGGTGAGGAGTCCACAACCTTATGAACACTAAGAAACACTGAATTATACACTCTGAGTGAACTGTATGGTATGTGAATAGATAACAATAAAACTGTTTAAAAACAGAAAAGAAAATTAATTTTTAAATACTTCTGAGTAACAGAAATAATAAGAACATTATACATTAAGATTCATTAAAATGCTACCTCTAATTCTTTAACTTCAGGAGTAGCAACACCCTTCGCCTATTTTAAATAAGCTCCGTAAGTGAACAATGGTTGATTAAATCCAGAGAATACCTAACTATTTCCAAAGCAGAAACAAATACTTCCAGCTGTAAAGTTAAATGATAGTTAAGTAAACATAGTGATTGCAAATCCTGTGAAATACCAACAGAGTGAACAAAAAAACTACAGGGGAAAAAAGAAGAGGAGGGAAGATTGAGAACAGAGCATGGGAAAATAAATAACATGTCAGCACAAATCTGCATCTTATCAGTCTATAATACACAATAACCTCCAAAACTTGACACTCACAACATAAAACGCTGTAATGTATGCTTTACAGTACTAACCACCCACAAAGAATAATTTTGCCTACTTGTATTAAATAAGGATAAACAAAAATTACTAAAGCAATACCCATAATTCAACAGATACTTTCCCTCAAAATATATAAAATTATCCTAGCACAATCACAAATGGGTCAGTGTAAAATTCTTTGCCATTTATGTACTGATTATAAAAATAATAATTTAAATACTTAGACATCAATCAAGAGAAAAACTGATATCCAATAGAGTCACTCTACCTCTAACCATCCATATACACACCTACACTCTAATAATAAATTAGTGTTCATCTTTCTGTTTTCCAATCCCCATTCCAGCTTGGCAATATGAAATCTTGGTGGGAATGTACATTCAGAGGGTACTCTTACACAGGGACAGACATGGACGCAATCATGTGGCAAACAACTCGACACTATTCAATCAAGCTGAAGACAGCACCACACCTCAGCAGACTTCCCACTTCTAGGTGTATACCCTGGAAGAGTGCTACTCAAAAAATGTTCAGAAAAAATGCCAGGCCTTAAACCAGTTTTCACTGTCCATC